GGTTTTGCAATATGGTGAACCATCGCTACGGTATTCTGTGCAATCGTCACCCCACTTCCCCCTTAACCTGTGCAATCGTTACCCCACTTCCCCCTCTAGGAAGACTGACAGCCCATAGGCCAAGAGAATCATGCATGCGGTGGAACGTATATCACGGAGGAATGCCGGAAGCGGTATAACATGGCAATTAGAAGGAACTCAAAGCGGGAAACTAAACCGAGGGTGCGGAACACGGTAGTAATGATTCGTCGGACTGCAGAATCGATCTTGTATTCCAAAAGAGACGTTCATCCGATCAAGGATGTTGTAAAACCTCAGTGTAAGAAAGAAGAAGACTTTCTTTGTTATGATAACACTCGCTTCCATACAGTAGGAAGAGCTCAGCACACATCAACCGGGTTTGATTTTACGGCATTGCCCACGATCCCGTGGATTCCGTGGATCTGGTCCCGGTTCTACTCGTTAACCCAATTGTTGGAGAGAAAAATAGCTGTCAGCGCCAGGCAATAGACCCGCACATTTCTATCAATTGTGACTCACTCCTGTTTTGTGATGACGAACAGCCGTAATTGTGGAAACTCCCACTTAAAATAAGGATGACCTGGAATACGAACACATTCTTGGAATTCTGGATAGATCCCAGTTTTGTTTACTCCATATCACGAGGCTGCAGTGGGCGTAGCTGCGTACCTCATTTGGACGACCACACTTCTTAAGGAATATTTTGGTTTTGGGGCAATTGTAATAACGTCTTTGACTAGCACAAGGTAGGAGAACTGTTCTCTTAAACAGGCACGAAACACGAGGAAGTCATCCTACCATATTCGAACGGAGTACGCAACGACGCCCCTCCCTATTATCGAGATCTGAGGTGCACTTCCCTTAGGTTATGGCTAGCCCTAATCAATAGTCTTAAGACTCCTTCTCGTTAGGTCAGTTACTTGAATAGAACTTATTGTGAGGGTCAAGCCACTCAGTAATCGGATTCGAATTTAGCTCATAAAAGAGGGACAAGGGCTAGCTCTCATCCGATAGTTTGGCGCGCCAAATATGACTTGATCATGGGCGACCACATCTTAACGAGCTTATTCAGAACAATATTCGCAGGTGCATTTTATTGAACACAAGTTATGTAACCTTAACCATTTTATCATTGTTTACTCTAGAAATAATGCTAAAAACGATCTATTCAACGCATATTGTTCAATAATATTCTCTTTCACACAACCGTAAATTCTCATAATCTAGAAAGGGTCACTTGTGGAATATAAGAGCTGAAACGAAAATTTAACAATTGTCCACAGAAAAAAACGTAACATTTCCGATGTGAGGCACAATAGAATTAGCAACTTGTAACAATGAATTTCTAAATAAAAAAAACAGCGATGGGGCAGGTTCGGGACAGACAGAAAAAAACCAGCGGGGAAAACGCTTGAACAGGAGCAATAGGATGATAATCTCTCGTCTTGAACGAGAAGATGCTACTTACAGTGTCCAGGTTCGCACTTCTTGCCTTGCATGTACTTATGATTGTGTTTTCTATACCTTACAAGGTTTGCTATGGCGAAGCTGTTTATTAAGTCCGACGTTTCGACCAAATAGTCCCTATCAAGGACCTGAAATGGTGCGAAGATCTCTTATTAGTAATCTAGACGGCCAGGAGCTTTACCGCTTTTTACTTGGGTTGCAACAAGTCTCATGAGCTTGAACCGAAATAGCAACTCCAATAAACCGATCAGCCGTGGTAGGTTGATCGATTCACTGGAGTTGCTACTCCGGTTCAAGCCACTGAGACTGGTCGCAACTGGCCAAGCATGGTAAGGCTCCTGGCCGTCTAGATTACTACTAAGAGCTCTTCGAACCATTTCAGGTCGTTGATAGCGATGGTTTGGTCGAAACGTCAGACTT